GGCATTCCATCTTAGCCCTCATGAGTGACAACGCATCTGCATTTTGAATCGCATACGAGCATAGATGTAGATGTCTATGGGCCACAGCAACCACCTACCATCAGGTGGACTGTGTGCTCGTTTGTCACCCTATCCTATAAAAAAAGAAGTAGGTATGATATGTTGGGATTATGAGGTACGAATGGAAGTTTAAACAAGAGACCATACCTCGCTTTATTAGCAAGGCAAGTTATCAGTCTGACTAGAAGGACGATGAGGTTGAAAGCAAAAATGAGCGTGTACAAGGAAAATAATGATAAATTTCCAGGAAAATATCAAAATGATCTGGAAACTCGACCGGAACCCCCAGGAGTAAGAATAGCCTAGAATGAATGTTGTGCAAGACGTGAATGGCTTGTTTTCAATGACTGGTTCCAGGGGGTCATTGTAGAAGCGTGCTCGTCGCGACCCCTGCCAGCCCTTTTCAGGGCTGCAATTCTACATAGCTGCGCACCCATGCAAACGAGGGTTAGGGCGTCCCCCCAAGGCGACGCACACCAGCTCGTCCCCGTTGGTGTGGAATGCAGCGCGCAAAGCGGCGATGGGGACCGCCACCCGTCACGCACAGCCCGACACGGCGGAAGGTGGAGGACGGAGTGCAGAGTTGGCACGTGGAATGTTAGAGGGGGCATGAGAGATAAGACGAATGAGTTGATCGAAATAATGAAAGAAAGAGAATTAGATGTCGTGTGTATGTCGGAGACCAAACGGAAAGGCAGTGGTACTGAAGAGCTCCCTTGCGGGACGTTAGCTATATGGTCCGGAATCCCGGAAAGCGAGAACGCCTGCCAGGGAGTGGGAGTGCTGTTGTCGTCCCGGTTGGTCGATCTTATGACTGAATACAAGGTTGTGAACTCAAGTCTTCTCTGGGTTCGCTTCAAAATGGGACTGACGAAGTTATTCCTTTTGGATGTTTATGCGCCGGTAGCTTCGTCGTCCAGGGCTGAGCTGGAGGAGTTTTGGGAGAATGTAAGAGAAGTTCTAGATTTGGTTAAGGGAAACGAAAGAACTGTTGTATGTGGTGATTTGAATGGATGGGTAGGTATCGCTCGACCAGGATACGAGTCGGTGCTTGGAAAGTTTGGCGATAAAAGGGTTAATGATGCTGGCAAGCTTATACTGGCTGTATGCAAGGAAAAGGGTCTTCTTGTGACAAACACTATGTTTAATCACAGGAAAATCCATATGTACACTAGAGAAAGAAAGAATGAGAGAAGTATGATTGATTTGTTCCTGGTGGATGACCGACTGCGAAAACAGGTGATGGATACACGAGTGTTCAGGGGTGCTGACCTGGGAACGGATCATTATCTAGTAATTACTAGATTTAGGGGTTTGTTCGCGGGTTGGCGCTACCGGACGGCAGTAACAGAACCACAGTCGGTCTGTCGCATCCGAAGCTGGAAACTTCAGGAAGCGGATACTAGGGACAAATATCACACGAGGGTAGCCGAAAAGCTTGACACCATCGATGGCAGGAAAGAATGTGTGGAGAGAACATGGCAGAACCTTAGGGATGCAATGGTAAGTGCAGCGGAAGAAGTATGTGGTACGACAAAAAGAGGTAGTAGTAAAAGAAGAGATGCATAGTTAGACTACTTGGCCTCTAGTAACGATGAGCATATGAGAGAGAAGATGAAAGAAATATATAAGCTGCAGAAAGTTCATGCGAAAACATTGATTGAGGAAGTACGTGAAAGGTGTAGAATAGAAGCGGACGAGAGGTTGTCGCACAACTTTAGGGAAAACTCCAAACTCTTCTGGAAAGAAGTTGGAAGGTCCCGGAGTGGTGCGACAGCCTTAAGAATGAACAAAGTGCTTTCGAGAACCAATGACGTCCTCTCAGAAAAATCGGACGTCATGAACAGATGGGGTGAATTTTATAGAGAAATGTACGCGTGTCATGATCTTGTGAAGGATCCGGGGGTACGCCATGACTGGCACGCCAGACACGGACCTCGATGACACTGAGGTCATCAGCATGAAAGAGATTGAACGTGCGATTCGAAGTTTGAAATGTGGTAAGGCTGCGGGACTAGACAGAGTTACTGCTGAAATGGTCAAGTACGGTGGGCCTCGCGTCTGGGACAGCTTCCATCTGCTGTGCAATTTGTGCTGGCGGACGGGAGATGTCCCGGATGATTGGCGATCCGCGGTCATTGTGTCTTTATATAAAGGTAAACACATTTTGACTGCGGTTGCTATCGGGCGATCAGCTTGACCAGTTTAGCAAGTAAAGCTTACTCGAAGGTTTTGACACGTAGGATGCAAGAGAAATCGGAAAGATTCTTTTGGGAGGCACAATGCGGATTTAGACCTGGAAGAGGATGCACGGATCAAATGTTTTCTCTCCGCATGATCACGGAGAAGCTTCTGAGTGTTAACCAGAAGATTTTCTGTGCTTTTGTGGATCTGGAGAAAGCATTTGATAAGGTTATAAGGAAGAAAATGTGGGAACTGTTGCCGGGATATGGTGTGGATGGTCGATTGTTAAGGGCTGTGCAGTCACTTTACTATGACTGTAAAGCCTGTGTGCGGGTAGGGCATGACCTGTCACCCATGTTTAGCGTCCAAGCGGGCGTAAAACAGGGTTGTGTCATGTCTTCCTGGCTGTTCATACTGTATCTCGACAGCTGTTTACAGAAGCTGAAAAATAGCTGTTTGGGTGTGAAATTGGTTGACATAAAAGTTAATTGTCTGCTGTATGCTGATGATGCAGTGCTTATTGCACCATCAGAAGCAGAACTGCAGGCATTAGTCACGTGTATGAAAGAGGAATGTGAAATTAAAGGTCTCCGTTTGAATGCTAATAAAAAAAAACTAAGGTTCTGGTATTTGAAAAGGACGAAGAGAGAACGAAATGTGAAATATGGGTAAATCAGGAATGTCTATAACAGGTAAATGAAATTCTATACTTGGGGAGTACTTTCAGCCGATGTGGAAGATGTGATTTAGATGTGGATAGGCGTGTCGCTGCCGGAAACAAAGTCAATGGTGCCCTGAATGCATTAGTAAAAAGGAATTACGTGAAGAGTGCACGCCTTGCAATACATAACGCAGTGCTGGTGCCGACTTTGTTATATGGCAGCGAAACCTGGGTATGCCAGAAGTTAAAGCAAGTTGAATGCAGTGGAGATGCGATCTCTTCGTAAAATGTGTGGCGTTACCATAGCCGACCGAAAGCGAAACGAAGAGATTCGCAATAACACAGAAACAGATTTTTTTTTATTCAATATGGATTATAAACAATACTTATTGAGTCAGTTTGTTTTTGTTTAATTTACCACTGGTTTGGAAAAATATCTGTCATGGATAGAACCAGTAAGAAACCCAGTGAATCTTTAAAAAAATGTAACAGCTTACAATCATTAATGTTACATAATTAACACAAAACAAATTAGAAATAGCTTGGTAGCAATCACCTCATTCCCAGGGATTATTATCATCCATAAATTCCTTAATATTATTATAATAATTAATATCCTATTAATACAAACTTATTTAATAAAGTTTTTGAATTTTGAGCAGGTCACATTTTGTTGTAAAAGCGTATATACATCGACCTAAGAATGAATTACGGACTCGGTGGAGTTGAGTAACTGGTACTACTAGCTTAGATAAGGAGGAAATAATTGAAACCATGTAAAGCAGGCAGTTATCATTACAATGTTGACATGTTTTACATTGAATGTTTAATTAATACTGTAAAGCCATTCCCTCTGTATAAAGGAAACTAGTTACAGCAGGACTGTTGCAAAAACTACTGTGGAATTAACTCGCTTATCACTATCGGAAAATTGTATGCTAAAGGTATTAACTTTAAGAATTATGAAAGTAGCTGATAGATAATGTGGATGCAAATGTTGGATTTAAAAAGTGGTGGGTTGTACGAATCAGGTTTTTCTTGTGTGACACAGGTTTTCTGTGCATTTTTAAACTGACAGAGTGGACACGGTTGCTTTGTAAACAAGACAATGATAAAGAACAAGGAGTGAATGCGGGACAGAGTAAATGAGGCTCTTCACCTTCACTATTTTGTAGGATGAACGAACAAATGATGATGACTGTCTCTGCGATCATGAGTGAGGACTGGAATAAATAAACTGAATTACTATATTGTATTAACCTATTCATCGTTAGTGATTCGACTTGTTACTGACCTTGAAAACATTACGACAGGCTTTTGAAAGGAAACACTAGTAATTTTATAACGATTTATTGTACAAAACAATCATACGTTAAAATGTACAGGTATGTTTATTTTTTCGGACTTTCTTAGGTCCCAAACACTGGACAATAAGTATATCCTTCCCTTACAGACACCATATTGCTCGTCGAGGCGTCAGCACTAATAGAAGTATAGATTCGACTCTAGATAAGCAAACTATGAATAAGATAAAAATATAATAATAATAAATTAATAGCATGCTGTCAACTTAAGTACACAATAGTTTATCGCACTGCTTCTGTCGACGGGCACCATGTAGTCTTTGAAAAAACAACGTAATTAAACAAATCGATTAAACCTCCTAAGCATACTGTATAGTAAAATATATACACGTTATGAACATATCCTCTCCGGTGATCGAACGCAGCCGCGGGTCTCCCAGTGTGGCGCGGCTTAACGTAACGTCGCCAAACATTCGCTCGGTAACAATCAAAAGCAAATGATAACGTTTTGGGAGACGGGAGCGGTCGAAGTAGCAGAGAGAAGCAGGTGAGGAACTATGTTTCGGTGGCGCTTACCACTTGTCATGGACCACCTCGTTCGCTGTAAAACAATGTTAGCGTTAGTGTGGTTTTCGCGTGTCGAGCGCCGCCGTCCGAACTTACTGGCTCTGTGCAGATATCACAACCGTGTCGTAGTAATTTACTATGTGTAGTTTTTTCACTGCGGGATCACAACAAACAATGAGTGTTCATGGAATATATGCGTGCGGTGGTGCGGAGACTCCCGGCGCTTACAGCTTCCACGTCGGCTGGGCTGGGGGCAGACAACACGACGTTAGTGCATGCGGGAGGGGAATCGCCACGTGTAACCAAAGTGTGTGTGGCGAAAAGGAGTTTAAAGTTTTGCAATACAAACTCCAAATGAAACGAAAAACCCCAACTTCCAAAGTGAATGTTTCGTTTTAGATGGAGTCCGTAATATCTTTGTATTATATTTTAAAGTATTTTGATATAATAAAGCCAATAACAGCAATTCTTCTTTAAGCTTGCAAAACTTCTAGTAGTGTTAGCTGGAAAACTTAAATCAACGCAAGTTAGTAATTTGTGCAATAATTGTACCTGTTCTTTTTATCCGAATAGAGGAAAGTGTGCAAGTCATTGGAAACATGATTAGAACATAAGGTTGATATAGAACAATATAAGGAAAATAACAAACATTTGGTTGGATAGTTTAATTAACGTAAATTATTATGGGATACTCAACTGCTTACGTGATCATTACATTTTATTTTCATGTATGGCATTCGGAGGTCAAGGATTTTCACTTACAAATTTTGAGCATGCCCTTCATTGTGCAGTGTAGATTTATTGTATGTTCGTGACCAATGACTTCATTAATTGCAATATAACACATATTCAATATATCTTTAAACAATATTTGTTTCTCAAATCAAATCCAAACATCAAACTGTATTCCTCATTGAGAGAACATGCATCTCGAACATGCGGGATCTTATATTATTATAAAAACTTATGTAAGGACCTTTACCTTAATGCTAAAGAAATGGACAAATTTCATTATGACAATTTTGTATAACTTATGATATTATTAATTATTATATTTCGGTAGATTATTGTATGGTTCCCTTATCAAGTCGATTAAGTAAGAATACGAAATTGTTAAACTATTTTTGTTTGTACAATGACTGTGTATTGCTTTATAAATAAAATAATTAAATACTCAATTTTTACAAAATATAATATAGACTATAAACTACAAGGTAAAGTTTTATAAAGTGTGACAAGTAACAATGTAAATTTATTGCATCAAATTTATATGCAAATGTTCTGAACAAGTACATAGTTAATTTAAATGCAAGACGCATTCGTTAAATTAGTCAAAAAAGTTAGGTATAGGCGTACAAACCAGTAGTAGCGGATTTTTCTCATAAAAGATTAGGGCGAAAAAAGGATGGAAATGCATTTTGGGTATGTTAACAAGCGACCACAAGTGAAAGGACAGAAGAAATGAGTGATAGTCCCTTAAAAACTTTAAATATATATATAACGCAGAGCCTAACCATATACTTACAATAAATAACTCTAAGCTAACAATCCACATTACTAGTTTACATGTCTGAAGTCCATATGGACAGGGTACTGTACCGAGTGCAAGTTTATTACAGTATTATATGATAAATAAACTGTGCTGTTTTCAAGATTCCGTCTTGAAACTCATTAAAATAACATTAATAAATTTATAGATTTTATAAATCCTTGGAAAACCGATAGAAAATTTGGTGTATAATATTAGATAGGGTGGTGGTCTTCACAGCCATTTAACTTTAGCATGTAAAACGAGAGTACATACGTATATATACTCAATAAAGAAAAAATGTGAGAGAATCTCATGGACTATGAAGATTGTTAATGTAAAAAATAAATTTATTGTCTCGCACATGCAAAATGCAAAACGAGCGGGCTACGTGGTCGCCGCCACAACTCAATTAAATCTATTCCTAAAATAACAGAACTACAAGACTTATTGTAGGTATAACTTTAGATACGTAGCGCTTTAGCTGAAGCGCGTCCACGCCGCATGAATATTTTGAGCTTAGCACCGCCATAGTTCAATATCAAATGTTCTTAGGTGTCACTTGTTTTGATAAATTCACTATGAGTCCTCAGTGGTCCATAACGCGAACACGTGCACTAGATCACTTCACACGATGTGCTCCGGTATTAGCTTTTCAAACTGTTAGATGGATGATACTGTGGTGAGCTGAGCTCATAGTCCATTGGTTTCCACAGTAGAATTCTAAACATTACCCATCCTAGTAAACTTTCAATGTAAAAATCAGACTATGATAGCTTTTGCAGCTACAGTATAGCAAGGGTGGGTAGTGGTAGAATTCGATGGGAGGGTATTAAGTGTGAATCAAACGGGGTGTCGGTCACAATCGGGCCGGCTTATAGGGGTCCGTAGATAATGAGGCCAAAGAAAACGGCCCACATGAGCACAATCCATTGCATGCCGTTGAGCCAGTCAAGTAGAGTGCGCGTATTACCATCGGAGATCTTGCGCGCGACGAATTTGAGCACCTCGTCAAGGAGGACGACTGGGATGGAGAACTTCATCACCGTCATCCACTCGTCTACTGACAGTGGAGTGACTTGGAACACGGCCTGTGTTACATAGTAATAAAACATTATTATACTCACAGAATACCGGCATAATTTAATACTGTAAGTGTAGAGAAAACTGGAGACCCTACTGGTTACAAGGCACTCTATCTTAGTTCTCAGGGTTGAGAACATATCCACAATTTTTTCTTAATTGAGGATAGATGTAGGTGTCTGTGGCCCATAGCATCCACTTACCATCAGATAGACCGTGTGCTCTGCACCTGTTAATGAACTAATTTTATTCTAACATTTCCTCCTGACAATTCGAATTTTAGGGACACCTATGGTTACAAAGGACTAGTCTTGTGCTACTTACTAAATGAAATTAAAAGTTGTAGAGCTAGTTTTAATGAATGTTTGGTATTAATGTAAATAATAACTTAATCCAACAAACTCTAAAATACTATGTATTACAGTATACTAAGTATTTTGGAATTCATTGATTAAATATTACAAAATAAAATGCGCTTTATATTTAGTTTTCGTGTGGTACTATATTATTACATCAGGTGACGTTGCTTGAAGCTCATTGTGCTAGATCTAGAATTATCAATTTAGTACCACCATACTACATTAATAATTCTAACTCAAATTATACCTGATACTGACCCATGCAACCTGTAATAATCCAATTATCTTAAATTTGTTTTAAATTAAAAATCGGTTAGTCATATTGCTAAAAATCCATTTTACAAAATAGGCTTACTAGTTTCTACAGGCATAGATAACTAAAACGTAACATGACTCACCGAAAGGACCTCAACATATAGAATGACGAAGTGGAGTGTAAATGAAAGCGCCATTGAGCCAACAAGCCACATGTTAGACCATGGTGGCATGGTCACGAGCGACTGGTTCTCAGACAAGCTGTTCATGGCGTTCAACATCTCAATGGTTACAAGTACTGATAACGCCATAGTCATGGGGTGAGGGTCAGTGAAGATCTTGCAGTCAATGCCCTGGAAAATGATAAAATATTTTGTTAATAATAACCATCCATGTCTTTTAAATAAATATAAAATTTTTTTATTTAATAATACATACACATAATATACAAAAAAGAAATTAATAATTATAGACCTATTGCTCTTATATTAGCTAAAATATTTGAAAAAGCAATGCATACTAGACTGAATAGTTGTCTAAATAAATTTACAAGATGAACAAAACGGTTTTCAAAAAGAAAAATATACAACACTAGCCAATTACACATTAATTCAGCACATAACAGACAACATTGATAAAGGTATGAAAGTTAATGGTGTCTTTTTCGATACGAGTAAAGCATTCGATTTTGTAGACCACAAACTGTTGCTAAATAAAATTGAAAAATATGGCATTAGAGGACTTGCACTCCAATGGATACAATCTTATTTAAGTAACAGAACTCAATGCGTTTAAATAACTAGAATTAATGAATTTAATGAACATGTCACATATAGCTCTAAACCCACTACAAAAGATATGCCACAGGGTACAATTCTTGGTCCTTTACTTTTTATTTTATATATTAATGACCTTCCATAGGCAATCAATCAACACTGTACTCTATATGTCGACGATATATCAGTTATAATAACAGGTAAAGAAAAGCCATCTGATTATGAACTTAAAGTTAACAATACTGTCACATCTAATAAATTGACTGGAAAATAATAATTTATGTCCCAATCTACTCGAAACTATATATATTACATTCTGCACTAACCGGGCAAATATCCCTAAAATAGTCCACACAATCAAGAAATTGAAAAGGTTGCTGAAATAAAATTCCTCTGCCTTATTTTAGTCAAGCACTGTAGTTGGAAAATCATATAAGCTTAATGTGTGATAAATTAGATAAATTCGTTTCTGCACTTAAAAGACTAACCAATTTATAATAAGCAAAGAAGCTGCTGTAACAGCTTATTATGGGTATGTAGCGTCCATGCTACGGTATGGTTTATTGATCTGGGGCAATTAAGCGGTTTTTAATAGAGCATTCCTCATCTAAAAGAAATGTGTACGAACAATCTGTGGATGTGGACCTTTTGATTGTTGTAAACCATTTTTTAAACAGTTAAAACTTATGATACTGTCTTGCATGTACGTGTATGCAATTGGAACGTTTGTAAAGAAATATTTACATTTATTTCAAAGATGTATTGATATTTATACAGATAAAACATTTCTGCATAGAGATGTAACAAGATTAAATTTTAGAAAATGTAAAACTGTCCTTTATGAGAAGAGTTGTCCCAATATGTGTATAAAAGTATATAATAAAATCCCAAGTGATATTCGAAAATTGCTATTTAACTTTTTTCAAAAATCATTGAAGCAAAGGCTTATTCAAAATTGTTTTTATTCCCTACATGAATTGTATTGTTATAGACTAAAGTGATATTTCATATAATCTTGACTTGACTTGATAACTGTTGAGATGTACACATTACCTTGACGATTTTTTTAATTTTTTTTTTGGATTAAGATTGGATCGAATTTTGTATTATTTCTTGTTTATTATTAACGTCTATGTATATGTGTGTTATTTATCTTGTGACAATTTATTCTTAAGGTTATCATGAAATTGTAATTAACCATAGATATTCATAGAACATTTATATAGCACTACCTACAATTATAAAATTATATGTTTGCATGCCACTGGCGAAATATGATTGTACCATACCAAATTATTATTATTATTGGTTTTGGTTGGCACTAAATAACCAGAATCTTACATATGAAATCTACATAATCTGATGCTCTATACCATCATAATCATATCTACATAATTACTTTTTTCTACTTTTTTTTAAATCAATGAAGCATTAAATTCATTGGTGCTTGAATACATTTTGTGATTGACACTGGGGGAATCAAACCCGGGTTGCTCGTATATTGTTAAATTTACGGCAAGTTGAGGTCTAACTGCCCCCTTGAGTTACCATGGCTCATCTATATCATTAATTAATTTATTCTTACCTTGAAATCATCACCTCCACCGAGGCATTGCAAGTGGTGGGTTAGCTGCCAGTAGGTCATCTGGGGTCCATATGGGGAGTACATGAACCACCATGAAGCAGCACCAACTGTCGCCATACCGACGTAACCACCGATTGCCATGTACCTGGAAATATTACAAATTGCATACAACGGTAAAACAATTATAGAAATCTTATTTTGTGAATTTCTCCTCATTAATAGATTGTAAGTATTTACATCATGTAAGACAATTATATCTACCAAATACGGCCTCGAAAACGCGACATGATACGTGTAAGGCGTACATTACACGCTGATGCAGGCGTCAGTCAATTCCAACAATCATGACTGATGGAATTGACTGACGCCTGCATGGGTGTGTAATGTACGCCTAACATGACTGTTAAATGCCATTTTCAGCATAATATAGCCTTATCGTGGTAGCATAAACTAGTCAAATTTTATATGAGTGGGGAGAGAAAACTTTGTATGTTTTCGACCACAGCATAAGGCGATGAATGAAACAAGTAATCTGCATTAGAGAATTAAGTCCCACTTTGAATGTTGTGCCTTAAAATCTAAATGCTTATGTATTTTTATAAAACTGAAGTGAAGACGAACTTATAGTCTACCTGATGGGAGTGGTTGATGCACTCTTTGAACACCTGCAGCAAACCTCAAAGAAGGCTACAAATGCGTTGTAACTTTTTAGGATAAAATGGAATGCCTTCATACAGGTAGGCAGAAATAGGTAAGAAGATAGAGTATCCACCAATATGGACACTTAGGGGAAAAGTAGTTCCACCGCATAGTAGTAGTCTTGTTTATGACATGATTCATAATATTTTGAATATTATTATTTAATAAATATGACACATCAAACCTTTTTAATGGTTACGAGGCATTACATCTTAGTCCTGAGGGGTGACAACGCACCTGCGTTTTGATTCTTAATCGAGGATAAATGTAGATGTCTATGGGCATCCACTTACCATCAGGTGGACTGTGTGCTCATTTGTTACCCTTATTTTATATAAAAAAACATCATCATTAGTAGTTTAGATTTTCTCTAATAGGTAAAGCACGAAAATCACGCGTTTCTTAAAAATCATTACCTGAAGAACAGCCATCCAGAGATGAGACCTTCGTCAGCTTTACGTGGGGGCTTGTTCATGATGTCAAGATCGGGAGGATTGAAACCCAAAGCGGTGGCGGGGAGACCATCAGTGACCAAGTTGACCCAGAGCAGTTGCACAGGGATCAAGGCTTCAGGGAGACCCAAGGCAGCAGTAAGGAAGATGGAGACCACTTCACCAATGTTTGAGGAGATCAGATAACGGATGAATTGCTTCATGTTGTTGTAGATAGCACGACCTGTTGATGAATGAAGTATTTCTTAATGCCAAAGCAATTCCGAACACGCCTTCCCTCTATTGTCATATTATAGTAAAAATCAATTCTAAAATGACTGTTACTACAGTTTGTACTCGGACAGTTTTTACTGCATTTGTGGCAGACAATTATAAAGTTTAAGGAGCATAGCAACATTTTCATATCAAGCTCAAATTGCTTGCAATATCATGTAATTTAACCAGTATGTGAGCTACCACAATCCTTTCTCGTTAAAATACCCGCGCATGGAAGCTAATGTCATCAGGTTCTGGATAGAACTTTTGTTTAATCGAGCGATAAAATTTAGCGCGCGTTGAACAATTTCTTACGGGCCGGTTGGGTCAGTAAAAATAGTTTCCATAGAAGAAGTATGTGTTTTCTTTTTAAAACACAAAACAGAAAAAAGAACGAAATAAGAAGAAACTATTCGCATCTTTTATTATGTGCGAAGAAGTGCTAGCGAGTTAGTGAAGGGGCAGTTTGTCCGGTCCTAATTATAAGACATCATATTTTTTTCGAATCAATTTTAGGCGATTCGCCGAATAACAAACAACCTGTCTCATATGTGCGAACATAGGTTGTTTTCCCTTTCATACAAAATTATACATGTAACACCATCGACCCATCGCGAACGGATCGGTAGTTTGTGTTTCGAAGGAGATTAAAACTGGCTAATTTGATTAGCATTCTTGGATGTTTAATACATAAAACACTTATGTTAAAGCTGGCCGATCACTTAGCCTCCATGTGTACGAAAGCTTTAGCCATTAATTACAAAAACTATTTTTTTATCTATGGGGAAGGTTGTATATACCTAGTGAGATATTTTCAAATTTTGATAAAGAACCTATGAAGCTATTATTCAAATGCCTCATGTTAACATAATACCTTCTTCAACAGCAGCGACGATGGATGAGAAGTTATCGTCAGCAAGTACCATCTCAGCGGCGGACTTAGCGACAGCGGTACCGGATCCCATCGCAATACCAATTTCGGCCTTCTTAAGAGCAGGGGCGTCATTTACACCGTCACCGGTCTGGAACGATAAAAAAATATATAAGAACGTCGCACAAGGTATTAAACAAAGATCTTCCATATTTGAATTTTTTTAGTTCGTCTGGGAAAATAGATGCATATATTAAAGACATGTCAATTGAAATAATTTCTACTGGCTGTTGAAGCGTAACATCTATTAAAATCGTAGGAGAATACAGGTAAAGGATATTATAGTTTTTGTAGTCAATCACAATTTGTATGCTTCATAAAAACAAACGTAATTTAAAAAGGGTAAAACAAAAACTGTATAACCTAGAAGGCAGAAGGGAAAAGACACTATTAAAAGTAGTGCGTTTGCTTGGCGACGTAAGTGAATCCATTACTTTGTATTATCATCTTATGGATGTCGTAAGAGGCGACAGAGCGAATCTGCTATCTAAAAATACAAGCAGTTTAATAACTGCTTGTATTTTCACACCTTTCGGCTAGGCTTAAAATGTTTATGCTAGAAGTGGTTTGCAATAGTACTCGCATAGTGAATTAAAACTCATGATTTTTAGTTTCGTAGTCCATAACCTTAACCATTACGTTACTGTCCCTTGCAGAAATAGTAGAAATGTCATCTTTTACAGGTCGTTTTCTTTAAGATTAGCTTAATATCACATTGGGTGCGTTTGGCAGAATAAAGCGCTAGCAAGCGCTTGTAAGCAAAATGGCGATCGTAAGCGGTAAACGCTGTCAAATCGTAAGTAGCTATTTTCCTCCAGGACACGATGTTAGTTTTAACCGGGGAACCTAACCTAATTTAAATCTATGTTTGTAAAGTATTCATATTAAAAACTTACTAATCATGAATTTTTAATAACATGTATATATGTTTATTCACGTTATTATATTACTTAAAACTAATATTGCACAAAACAACTTATAAACTCTACTTCAAAACAAACAAATTAAATAAGCAAAATGGCGGATTGTGTCAGCGCTACTGAAGTAGTAATCGTGTCCTGGCATAAAACTATTTCAGCGCTTGTAAGCGCTTGCTAGCGCTTTTTTCTGCCAAACGCACCCATTGTCTTTGATTCTGTACATCAGGGATTCCCAAAGTGGTCGATATCGGTTTCCCAGAGGTCGACATAAACGAAAACTGATTTTGTTTACTTTGAGACTTTAATTTTTTTTTCAAAATATAATTAATGACGCAACGAATACTACTTTTACGAATACGAATAGGAATATCTCGCAATGGTAATAAATAACTAATTTATTTGATGATTTTCTGTTGTTCTAATAATTAGAATTTACAATAGCCAATTTTTTATGTAAAAAAACAAAAAACTGTAGATTTACTGCTTTTAGGCGATTTCGTTTTTAAAAGCCTTTCCGAGGCGACTGTACATTAGATATGAGCGCCGCGCCGGCGCGCCGCCGTCGCCGTAAGTACATGTCGACGCGTCGTCGCCGAGTAAAGCACGCGGCGCGCCGTCGTGAAGAGTCGCAACTTGCTTTCTCGCTGGCACGCGCGGCCCGACAGCATTAGTACGCCATTGAAGAATTTGAAGAATTCGCTGAACATCTGGAAAATGCCGACTCAACCGACTCTGAATCCGAAACAACTAAGACACCTGAAAGAGATTCAAGTTCTAAACAGTGTTTGCAGCCCCCTCCGACTATTAAAACGAGCACAAGCATAAGATGGCATAGAATTTTGATGATGCTAAAATGCATTTCTAATGACGCAAAACGACAGCCTATAGACACACTTCTTAACAAAATAGGACGAGGTGATCTCGTATTACAAGATACCGAATATGAAACCATTCAGGCTCTGATAAAGTTTCGAGAGAATTTTAAGAAAATCGTTGATGTTCTAAGTTCAGAAACCCAACCTACTATGAATCTGGTTCTAGTGTTTTGGTCAGAAGTGAAAAAATTGCTTGAAGAAGCGAATGATGATGCGCCTCTCGCAATAGCTAGGCTCAAAAATAACATGTTTGAGAGTTTGAACTCCCGATTTCCTTTAACCGGTGTGGTCGTTGCGTCAACTTTGCTTGATTGTAGATTTCATGCCATTCATGAAATTGATGAATTTATGCAAAAAAGAGAAGTCACTAAGGTTTCATTCCTATCAACAATGGTCAGAAATCGCTTGACAACAGAGGATCTTCGTCAAAATGAAATCATTGATACCGCTAAAGCTAGGCCGACTTCTTCTGCTGGTTCTTTAAACTTTTTACTGGAGTTGGTGTGAAAACACAGGACCACTCAACGTGATTCCGGGAATGCTGTAGAAAATGAATGCTGGAAATATTTCAGTACAGCATCTCCTGAAGATTTAGAATCTTACGGTGGAGACGTTCTACAATAATGGAAAGACAGGAAACTTCTATACCACCACTGTATGCTCTTGCACGCTCAATTTTGAATATACCAGCCACCAGCACGCCGAGAGAGTATTTTCCACAGCTGGACTCGTGATAACCGCAAAACATTCAAGATTAAAGCCTTTGAGGCTAAATAGGATAGTATTTATCCGTGACAATTATGTATTTTGCAAAGAATCCTTAAAGGAATAAACGGTGTTTTTGGACATTGATATACATATTTTCATTTTGATGTTTTTGTGGTATTGTTATTGTTATTTTGATATTTTATTGTTTTCTGTATTTGATTGAGCCTTAAAAGTATCAAGCGCCAACAAAACTCACTTAAATGATTATTTTATTTGTAAATGTATCTGAAAGAACATGTGAAATTACCTAACTAATTATAAATACATTATAGGTACTACTTTAAATACATAATTACATACTTATAATTAATATATGATTGTTTTATGTTCGTAGGTTTTTTTTACGTTATTATAGAATTTACTTAAATATATATTTTGAGTGTAAGGGATATATATGATAAATATTTCTTTTAGTTTTTTATAATAAAGATAGACGACACTGCTGTGATTGAAAACGTTCAGTTTTTCTTCAACTGAAAATACTGAAACGATTATTTTTCAGTAAACGTGATCTCCAATTATTAATAAGACTGTCAAATTGTAATTAACAAATAAGTTTCTTTATTAAAAAATATAAAGCTTTTTTTTAGTAACTACAATATGATTTTTTTTTTGAGAAAATTTTTCCTGATAAAAAAAATATCCAAGGCCTACGACTGGCCACGACGCGCCGCCGCAACGCCGCCGCCGCTGTGGAAATTATCAGGCCACGCCGCCGCCGTGGAATTGGCCATCGGCGCTCATATCTACTGTACATGCGGTTTAGTGAAAAATATTTTTGGGCGAGATTTTTCAGCCTTGGAAAATCGACATCTTCTCGCCAAAAGGCTAATGTATTAGCAGATATAGATATGATTTATCTAAGTGTTTCCATGTGTCACTTTTATCTCGTTTACGAGAGGAAATTTATTTTCAACTTCAACTTCTTTCTTTCACTTCGCAGCAACCTCAAAAAACAAATTATACAATACACTCTTGCTTGATCTATGCTTTCGTTCGACCGTGAAATGAAATAATGAATCAATCCAGGGTTCGTAGTGATAGGGAAACACCCGGAGCCAAGGAGTCCACCGTCGTTGCGGCTAAGAGCTTATGCACACGTCGTACTTTTTACGCGCCGACGAAGCGCGCGATTTCCAAGTCTTCCAGTAACAGACTTGCGTACAAAAATATTAGTTTCTAAATATTCATGATTAGTATTTGCCGAATACGAACATCGTTAAATGTCTACTATTCGGCGAATACGAATATTCGTATTCCCTGCATCACTAATAATTACCTACTTAAGTAGTTTTACGTAATTTGTATTAATAATTGTTAATTAAACTTGATATTTACTGAATTTTGTCCATTTATTTAGTTAAATTTTGATGTGAAAATGATGTCAAGTTTACTCACTTAACCAACCGCAAAGTTTTTAAATTGGTAAGTATTTTGTATCAATAGGAAAAAAAAAAAAACTATACATAGGATTGTTAAAGTAATTTCACTATAATGGTCTGAGGTGTCAGTTCATTTTGGAAGAGGGGTCTCTTGCCTAAATAGTTTGGGGATCCCTGTTGTACTGATTCTTAAGAGCAGAGCGCGAAACTAGATTACGCATTTCATTGTGTAAACTAATCTTAACGCTGTTGCTAAGTCAAAAAAATCGTATCACGTAATGATGTCTTCTTAATATTAGGACATTCAGCTAATACATTTTGTTATTGTAATATCGAATTCTACCGTGATAGGTTTGAACGCCAAAGTTTATAAACAGTACCAACTGACTAACATAAACAAATTGGAAAGCATTCTCAATAGTACAATATGTAAACATTAAATAATGCCAGGCAATTGGATATTTATAAAGATATTGTTCGCGGGTTAATAATATATATTGCAATGTTTATTTGGTTCATAAATTAATAATTATATATTATATCGCACGAACGAATTGTATGGTAAGATACGTTTGTGCAATCTATATTTATTTCCATTAGTTGGTCGGAATGATTAAGCCAGATTTGCTTTGATGTTTTGCACAGCGGGATAATGTAGAAAACATAAAACTTGATCACTAACGTAGCAGATGTTTTGACGATGACGAAAAACCAATGTATTCTGGATGTTAGTTAAAGTTATAGAGTAAAATGATGTTAAGTACATCGTCATATGATAAATGTTATTATTAATATTGATAGTATTTTTCAATATATATATATATATATATATATATATATATATATATATATATATATATATATATATATATATATATATATATAGTGTATACTCAATATAGCAAACGTCCATTTAACGAAAAACTACTTAAAACATTCTCAAAACAAAATTTGTGTAATGACGAAATTCGAGCGATAGAAAAGGGAGAAAGAAAAAGTGATGTTGCGAAACGGTTTGGGATTCAGTCCATCTATTGTGTCTACTATTTGGAAGAACAAAATTGTTTTTTTTTTTACTTTACTTACTCGCCATTTAACGAAAACACTCTATAACGCAATAAAATACCTTTACCTTCAATTTCGCTATATAGAGTTTACACTATATGTATTATTTTTAAGTAGACCACAATGAATATTTAAAATGAAAACGCTAAAATATAAAATATTTGATGATAAAATATAGTTCTTCAATACTAACCATAGCAGAGATCTCGTTCATGCTTTGCAAGTATTCAACGATCTTGGACTTGTGGGCGGGCTCCACGCGGGAGAACAAACGGGCTTTAGCACAAGCGTTACGTTGATCCGCCACGGACAGGTCATCGAACTCGCGGCCAGAGTAAGATTTACCAGTCGTGTCCTCATCTTCGCCAAACACACCGATACGTCTAGAAAAATACAACATGATAATCAAGTTCCCCAAGCAAAACTAATGTCAAAAATAATAAAGTACCTGCAGATAGCCTCAGCGGTGGACTTGTTGTCACCAGTGATGACAATAACACGGATGCCAGCAGCGCGGCAACGGACGATGGAGTCAAAAACTTCTTTGCGAGGGGGGTCCAACATACCCACGACTCCAACAAAGGTGAGGTTAACTTCATAGGTGAAGAACTTGGTGGAGTCGCCGAGGTCCATGTCATCAGGTTTCAGGGGGTTGTCAGCAGTAGCGAGAGCCAGGCAACGGAGGGTATCGCGACCAGTACCATATTGGCGGGTAAGTTCCAGAATTCGGTTTTTCAGAGTAGAGTTCAAAGCCACCTTGTTGGTTCCGACACGAGCATGAGAGCAACGGTCCAATACGCCCTCGGGCGCACCCTTAACAAACAGTTTCGGTCCATTGCCAAGACGGGAGGGTTTGAGAGGTGTACAGTAGGTCGACATGGACTTCCTATCACGAGAGAACTCGAGGGTGAACTCTTTCTTCCATTTGGTTTCAATTTCCTGGCGGACGACAATAGCAGCAGAACGGCGGTCGAGTCCAGACTTGGGCACGTTGAATGGGTTCATTTTTTCTGCGAGTACGATAAGAGCGGTTTCGGTGGCCTCACCAACTTTCTCGAAAGCTTGCTTGAATTCGTTGAAATCGATTGCTGAGTCATTGCACATGACACAAATAGTAGCTAATTCGTGAAGGGCATCGAACTCGGAAGCTTTGACTTTTTGTCCTTTCAGGTAAACGTCGCCAATGGGCTCGTAAGTTGAGCCAGTGATTTCGAACTCCAAGAAGCTGCTGTCACCGCCCTCGATTTTCTCGAAGATGAACATACGGGAAACGGACATTTGGTTGGTAGTTAAAGTACCAGTTTTGTCAGAGCAGATGACGGATGTACAACCAAGAGTTTCTACGGAAGGCAACGACCTAACGATAGCGTTCTTCTTGGCCATTCTCCTCGTACCCAAAGCAAGACAAGTGGTAATGACAGCGGGTAGACCTTCAGGAATGGCGGCGACAGCCAAAGCAACAGCGATTTTGAAGTAGTATACGGCACCCTTAATCCAGCTTCCACCATGGGCGGGGTCATTGAAGTGTCCGATGTTAATGGCCCAGACGGCAACGCAAATGACGGAGATGACCTTAGACAACTGCTCACCGAATTCATCGAGTTTTTGTTGCAGCGGTGTCTTGATCTCCTCAGTCTCCGACATTTCTGTACGAATTTTACCAATGGCAGTGTTGAGACCAGTGCCGATGACGATACCGCGGGCTTTTCCGGCAGCAACATTAGTACCAGAGAAAAGAATGTTCTTTTTGTCCTGATTGACAGCGCGGGGGTCGGGAATGGCGTCCGTATGTTTGATAACGGAGACTGATTCACCAGTCAGGATGGACTGATCAATACGAATTGTGGTGGAATAGATTTTAATAAGGCGGATATCGGCGGGGATTTTGTCACCAACGGATACTTCAACGATGTCACCAGGCACGATTTCTTTCGCTCGAATTTTCTGTACGCCGGATTTATCGCCCCTAACAACTTTACCCATTTCGGGTTCGTATTCTTTTAAAGCTTCGATGGCAGATTCTGCGTTCCGTTCCTGTGAAGTGAGTTCTAGGTTACATTGACTGAAATAATAAAATATAAACTCATTGATATTTTATGGTATATAATTATGTACATGTGAATTTAATTATAATTAGAGACAAGTTGTGTTTCAGTTATCACCATAATATTTTATTTATTGAGAATAATAAGACGAAGAGAATTAAAACAACACTAAAATAAAAATTACCTGCCATACTCCTACAACAGCGTTGGCAATTAGAATTAATAAAATAACGAATGGTTCTACGAAGGCTGAGAAAGCGTCTTCGTGTTCTTCAAATAAAGCTAAAACCTGTAATGAATAATATATGATTTGTATATACATCAAAACTTGCTTCTAAACGTAGTCCATTTTATCATATAAAATACTTACAAAGGAAATAATAGCGGCTAACAACAAGATCTTCACTAAGAGGTCATCGAATTGTTCCAGAACTAACTGCCATATACTTTTGCCTATAAAATACAAATGTATCTCAAATACTGTGTAAAAAAGCAATCTTTTGGTTAAAGTGACATTTAAAAGGCTTCTATGCTGACGCAATGAATCTCGAGAGCGGAAAGTTAAATGAGGTCAAGATATAACATAATTGTAATGTTCTACAAACCGTAAACTTGGAAGCTAGGTAATTGAAAAATAGGTATTATAAACCAACTCTTTATCTGCTTTAACTCATATTAAATTATGCGTTGTGGATATTTATTTGATATTTCATATTTCGCAGGGAATAATAGCAAAAATTTTTTGCTGGTCAACAGCGTGGATAGGTAGATAGGATTTATATATTACTAGCTTGCCAGGCAGACGTTGTTCTGCCCTTTTTGACGACCCATTGTCCTATGAAAAATTCCTATAAAAATTCTTAAATTCGTAAAAAAAATTTGTGGGTCACTCGTGGGGAAAAAAACTATCCTATCTTTCAAGTTGGACCAAACTGCACACGGTGTGCAAATTTGATTAAAATCGGTTAAGTAGTTTGGGAGTCCATCGCGGACAAACAACGTGACACGTACTTTATATATTATATTAAGATATCATAAAAATCACACCATCAGAATAATTTAGTATTTTTCTATATTCATAATGACGGACGGGGGGTGATTGGAATGGCTTATATAACACGAGTAAATGGTAGATGATTATCTCACTTACCTTCTTCCACAGGCAGTTCTGAAAACAGAAAAGTACCGTAATTAGAGTTTTGAACAAAACATCAAAGGAGTAAAATTTACGATAAACCACTCAGAGCAGGCATGCAATTTATCTCAGTAGTTACGATCGTATATAAATACTCGCATATTAACTAGATAGGTGTTCAGGTGTTCAGCAGCCTCAAGTACCTCAAGGCAGCGTCGCATTATTTGAGGGCTACGAGTCATGTGACGTATTTCTAGTAAAATATGTTATTTATGATGGCTTATTAACTAAATAAATTTAATTATCGGCTTTAACTGTAAAGGGGTAGAGATCAATATTAAACCACGTGTTGGTAAATCGGAATGTTTGATATAAATTATTTTGATTTTCAATTGTAGTTACTTATATGGACTTACTGACATATTTGTTGTAATCTGTACTCTATTTCAAATAAAAGGATTTTTATTATGTGCTTACATTATCAATAGATAATTTCGCTTAAGTTTTTGTTGAATTGTTTGAGTTTAGATATACTTTGAGCTGGAGTAAATATGAACGATATCAAGGGCAAATATAAGACTCATTATCTTGCTTTGCAGAAACGCTGGCAAACGGCTAACGAAACAAAGATGTTATAAAGAGGATACTGATATAGCAAGTTGTGTATGATAATTAGTTGTGCGTCGGTTACATTGGGCCACGTCTGTCCGTGACGTACGTGACCCGCACGTACGGTGTACACTGACCTCGCAACGTGTGCGTCTTTTACGTAGACTTTGTATATAATATTACACCTTTCTTACCCTTATAAGGGGAAACTTATTTACCGTCTCGTTGGTCTAATGGTCATGAGTGCGACTGCTGATTAGCAGGTCCTGGGTTCGACTTCTTGTCTAAATGAAGTATAAGTTGTTGAGTTTTTCTGTTAAGAAATTAACAATAACAGTCCGGAGTTCGAAATTTGGTGGTTTTTCACCCCAGTGCCTCGGATTTCCGTTGGTTTTGCGCCTGGTCTCTCTCAGGTCATGTCGAATTGCTCTCCCTTCGGTATTGATAGGGCACATGTCTATGCGACGCATACACACACGTGCACTAGGCCTGTCCTGCACAAATGCCTAGTCTCTGTCGAAACGAGATTAGCCGCCGTGACCGAAATTCGGTCTGAAGAACGTGATTATTATTATTATAAAATAGAAGTAGGTATACGAAGCGGAGCGTAGCATAGACACTTATATATTACTATAATACAGTTGCAGTGAATGGTTAATCTGTTGTTGTTAAGATAATAAATCTAAGTTAACTAGGGCGTAGATCTTTTGTTTGTTTTGACTTTGGCATTCAAATTTAAATAATTAAAAAATTAAAGAACAGGTTTGCAGTTCACACGCGGTACTAGTAAAAAGTTCAGAGAACTAAACTTGTATTGAGTATGAGACGAATGCAGAATATCAGGAGAAGGAAAGGTGTAGGGTTTATTTATTAATATATTGTTATCAAGTTTAAAAATTATGTTATACTAGCGATCCGCTTCGGCGCCACCTACCGAGTCCAATTGAGCTTTTAAACTATAAGAACCCAGAAGAAGAAAATTATATACTATATATATATATATATATATATATATATATATATATATATATATATATATATATATATATATATATGTAATAGGAAACACTGTAAACTGTATTCTATCTCATTCTCTCGTACGTTAAATTCTATACATGTCTATGTTTGTCTCTTTTTAGTATCGCTTTTTCTTTTCATCGAGTTTCAGATCACAAAGATTCTAAAGAAGTTTTCACTGTAATAAAAACTTCTTAAGAATATTAATTACAATTCATTGTTTATATTACAAACAATGAATTGTAATTACTGCCTGTTTTATTCTTATGTTATTGTGAAACGAATGTAGTCATAAAATTACGTGCTTTATACTGGTTTACTTCTAGGCGAAGAATTTAAATGATAAAGATAAGTTTTGCGTTGTTAGTATCTGCGTGCGTTGCAAATGTTTGTTCGCATAACCGCATACCACAAGGCGATCACGTTCAAAAGGGCCTTATAAAACGGTTTAACACTTCGCTTTGTGGGTCTCAACAGACGTGTGTAATCGGGCAACGTGCGCCAAGTCAATCGTAGCGACTCTATTTGCGTACACCGCGGCTGCCAGCCGCGCCAAGACGAATGTGAGCAATTAGTCAACTAGTCGATATTGCCCTGTTAGCATTTGGGTGCTTCCGTCGTCGTGGATCAGCGGAACGTCACAAATCAAGTGATAGCTTTTACGAGCTTAACAAGAAAGGCGGGGTGCTTAAAACAGGTCGAAAGAAGATATATTTCTGATGATGGCACATTAAAACATGAAGTTATATATATATATATATATATATATATATATATATATATATATATATATATATATATATATATCTTTTTGATAGTGCGAACAGAAAATTAGGTTATGCGTGTTGGGAATGTGTAGGTCCATGTTTATATCTCACTAAAATATTATAACCATATTTTAGAATTAAGCAAGATGAGATGAGATGAAATAAATGCGAATTAAGAGAATATTTCATAAATAAATATATAATAGTTGAGAAGATAGCACGTCTGCCCCATATGTAAGACGCAAGCCGCCAACGTAGACCGTCTAAAATAAACCCGGCTGCTATCCTATCTATATTATATTTTAGTCTCTAGACACTCTGAGCTCACTGCATCACGCGTCAACATTCCCAGGCGCCTCGTTCTTAGCACAGTCCAGCTTTCCATTAACTGCTTTATGCACTCGACTCTTGCAAAACTACAGAAGCAATTTTAAATGCATGTGAACCAATTGCCCAAATACTCGATACGTTTGTGATACCAAATACGCTGTTATTATACAGTTTTAGGTTTTAGATTCCAATCATGAATATAAAAATATAAATGGTATGTTCTAGTTAATATTCAAGAAACACTACCTAAATAGGTTTATTGCGTTGGTTTACCCTAGCTTGTTGATTTTAAAATAAACCAAAAGGTGTTACGGCGTTGAATATTCAAATGTTTTATTTTACATATTATAGACGTTATCATTATGAATGTTATTATGATCGACAGTAAGTAGCCACTTTGTTTTATAGAATAAGGGTGACAAGCGAGCACACAGTCCACCTGATGGTAAGTGGGTGCTGTAGCCCACCGTTTCCCATTTGCCGGGTCGAGACCCGGTACCGGGCCATCAAATTAAAATACCGGATCGCCAAATTCCCGCATACCAACTTGTAAAAAATATTACAAGTTAAGTAAATAAGTACCAATAACTAGTAAGTTTACCTTAAAAATAAGTATAGAAACCGACTTGAAGTGGATCCAGACCATAAGATTAAACTTTCCTCATTTTCCGCGAACTTGGATTTTTTAGTGAAAAATAAGCAGCAGCCCCATACTTCGCATTAAAAGTTTGTGACTAAATAGGCGATACCAAAATATATAGCAAAAATAAAACATTTTTACTGTGAATAAATGTGTATTGTTTTAAATAATGGAACCAGCTTGGGTTTAAAAGTATTTAGTGGGCCACTAAGGGGCAGTATGAAAATTACAGGGCCACGGCAGAACAATGTTTGGGAAACACTGCTGTAGCCCATAGATATCTACATCTACCTTAGATTAGGAGTAAGTTCGAACGCCTCGTGTTTCCAGTGAAAAGGTCTAGGGATTTTTAATACACTCACAATACGAAACAAGAGAATTAAGCTGAATCCTTACGCAAGTATTCTATGAGAGCCTAATCATTCCCCGGTTTAGCCGACCACATCATACCACACATACATAATATGCAACATGACTACTTATAAATTTAATTATACCTACAAATTATGATGCAGTTGTGTTCGGGAAGTGAAATGAGACATGACACATAATTATTAAGTGACCGATATCTAATGGAAGAAGTATAAGTAAATATATTTGATAATTCTTACAGTAGTTAAAAGAATATAAAATAAATAGAATATAATTGATAGAATCAGGCGTTACTTTGCGGAAATCCATTACAATAAAGATATTAATGAATTCGCAACCATCCGCTTAAAAATACAATCATGTGTCTTCAATTCAGGTAAGACACATCATTGTATTTTAAGCGGGTGGTTGCGAATTAATTAATATCTTTATTATAAATAGAATAGATGTATGTAGGTACTAAGTTTATTTAGTCCCACTTGACAAGAGTTAACTTATTTTGCATATAAAACAGAGATATATAAGTGAATAAGTAACTGACAATGATTAGGTACATTATTTAAGAACCTACATTTTCAACAGGCGGTAAATTTCACACTCGGATCTATTTCGGTTTGAAGTTTTCCGTATTGTGACCAAGCTTGAAGTGGAGTGACGCGTAGTTTGGGCGCAAAGTTCTAAAGCTAAATAATCGCGCGTCGAGTGCTACGAAGTCGAGAAAATAAACATTGATTTGTCTACAGTTTTGCCGCCAAATAATTATTCTTAGATCAGTGGTTTTTCATACGTCGTTACATTTCATTCGCCGAAGAAATTTATAGTTTAGGCACATTCTTTTAAAGTCCATTACTATAAAACAGTATCTATCTAATTGTGTGTACTTTAAGTCGGCTCATGATGTTTTATCTGCGTAGTTCGCATGCTAAATAGAAGTAATACCCAGAAACTTATTAGTGTTCCAGAATTTAAGTACCTGAATTCAAAACTATTTGCGTCGCATTGACGACATAAATTAAAATTATTCATTATACATATAAATCAAATTCATTTAAAAAAAAGTTAACATCAATAAAATTAACTCGGACGGCCAAAGTGAGAGAGATAGTATACATTTATAAGCCGTGATATACAATATGTAACGTAATTAACGCACACCCTCAGACACTCCAATTAGTATATTATGTTATACTCATAATACATACACTGAATTTTTAGTTAAACATTTTTATGCACTGATTATTTATCAAATTAGTTATACTAATTCCGGAAGAATGTTGTGGTCACAGTACAAATCCACG